TGATTAAATTGCTTAGCCTCTATTAAAATTACTTTTCATTGATATATTATAAGAGTGGTATATTAGTTTATGAAAAGATAAAAAATATTTTTTCATCAAAGTGATTGTTTTTTTCGATAGATTGAAATTCATACAACATAAAAAAATTATTTCCTATATAAGTTAAATTTAGTAAAACTTGAATATTGTATAAACAAAGAGTATTCTAGAGTTACTAAGGAAATTGAGTAATATTTTTACTTCTCATTTATCCTCTCAATATATTTATGTATTTGACTTATTAATAAGTTACTCTGGTTCAAATAATGTTATACCTATTTGAGTAATAAATAAATTTAATACATAATGAACAATTACAAAGATAAAATGTATAATGTAATTACTATAATATTTTTGAAAAATCATATAATTAGGATTATTTTCTGAATACTATAATTAAAAGTTACTTTCATACAATCATCAATTTAATCATTAAATGGTGGAGTAAAATAAAAATTCAATTTATACCCACTCAAGAAGTAAACAAAGCGTGACATACGCTTATCCAAAACAAACTTCTCCTAAAATCATCCTTTAGTATTATATAATTATACTTAAGATGTGACTTGCTTGATATTATTATCTAATTCTATCAAAGATAGATTGATGAAAAAAAATTACAAAAATATTTCATGAAATATATCACCTAAATCAATAATTATTTTATTAAATTCTGTCAATTTGTAATAATTATTTTACTGTTAGTAATGTTTTCCGTTTTATTTTTGGAACCTATTGAACTAAAAAAATCTTCCCCAAATGAGATTAAAAAAATCCTTTATTAATAATATACCAAATTTTCATCGTTAAAAGCAATCTGGTTTAAGATATTTCCACACATAAGAAAAATAAATATTTGATGAAATTAAACTAATTATAATGTGTTAAATGTTCCTTAATTAGAGTACTAAGTGATCAATCCTTTAAGCTGTTTGATTATCTACGTAATCAATTAGAAATTAAGTAAGGAGCAGTCTAGAAAGTAATTTTAAGATCAAGTCCCTAATAATTATATCTTATTTATGGATAAATTTTAACATCATAGATATGTCTCTCATTTCCTCACTATTAAAGTTAAGAGACCTCAATAAATTTATCATCCCAAATTAAAATCTTATACTCTTGATAGATTTATTGACAGTAAATTTGTCCTTCCAATTCTGGCACACTACTTCGATTTTAATTGTTGACTCTAATATATAGTTTACTATTGACTATTAACTATCAATTACTTAATTATTGGTCTTAATCTATCTATTCATTT